TTCACGCATCAGATTTAGTTAACATTTTAAAAAAAAGGTTGACATTTATCTAGATTTCCGGGAAGATTTCAGATTGCTCTAAGGCTTCTTAGATCAATCTGACTGGCATGATATTGTAAAAAGGCTGTGAAAGTTATGTACTTGCAGATCTCCGTCACCTTATTATTTACATTAAGTTTGAGCTTAGTGTTGATTCATTAGAATGGGGGGAAATGTTGGATTAGTTTTCTGGAACCATGAAAGAACTGACCATATTTTGAGCATTGTTTTGGTGAATATTTTCATGTAAGAAATTTGATTATGTATAATAAATTGATTGAAGTTTTACTAACAGGTATGAAATATATGATGGTGTGTGAGCATGTGGACGGGTGTATACGCAGGTACGTTTTTACTTTTTTGTTTGCAGCTATATCATATAATTTTGGCCAAATTTTCCAATGAAAAATGTGTAGAAAATGAGGGAGGCTGTGATTCATCCCAGATGACCAAAACCGTTGCCTTTTTTATAGTGGGCTGCTGAACAATTTATTAGATTGTTTATGTAACTATAGTTATTGATTACGTATATATTTGTTAAGCTGATGGTGGGCCAATTTAAGTTTTCAAAGCATAGAAAGGAGCTGTCCAAGAGTGATGCAATAAGTTGATAGGAGCCATGTTACAATGACAGGCCTGCGTCTTTCCTAAAAACCTACTCCTCACTCCTACCACAGATGAAATTTTGAAAATTCACTAAGCAGGAGAATTGGGCATTGCTTCTCAGGATAATTAATCTTGATTTATTTTGAACAAGCTTTGAAATAATGTTTTACTGCCAAATCAGTTGGGATTTCAACTCAGATATTGTGTTAGTATCCAAATATATTCAAATATACATTGGAAATCTAGAATATTTTACAAATCATCATCGTTCTTATACTGCTCAACCAGACTATTGTGGTTAACATATTTAACATGATTGCAGTCAAGAAGAGAGTGGATGATTTATTACGAACTGAGTAGACTATATACACAAAAATTCTCTGATTGCATAGAGTTTGGTGACTTGCCTTAATTACTCTTCTTCTGGCCTTGAGCTATATTTATTATTAATTTTCTTTCGTATCCACAATTACAATTCTTCCATTCTCGTCCATGTTTTCAGAGCAGCGAGCATTGCATCTAGTTGATCACTTTTAATATATAGAGTTTGAATGCTACTTAATTTGTACGTAGACTAATCATGTAATTGTGTTGGATTATGGGGCATTTTCAACCTTCTAGCTTATTAGTCAAATTTTTATTAAACTGTAATAACTACCGTATAATGGCTTTTAGCTGCTAAACAATTTAGTCTCCATTTTAAGATTAATGGAGGTTGAAAATAGTACAAATGTTGGTTGCAAGTTTTTCAGTAGGGCCAGAGGTCTTCTGTGGCTTTTGCTCATGGCACGTTCCCCTTTCAATTTAGTCAAGTCTTTTGTTTGCTACTGTTTTTGATATTAACACCCTCCAACTCCGTCACCTGATCATCCCACCATCACAATATTTACATATGAGACCCTCTTTTTTGTAATTATATTCATAGGGACCTGACTAGATTTATGGTTGTCGTTCGTTGCTTCAACCTTCTTCTTTCATCCTGGATTGAAATATACAGTGAAAAGATGAACATTAAGCCACATTATTGACGGAATTGACGTTAGCAAAGTTGAAGGAAAGAATTGAAATATACAATGAAAAGGTTAACAATAAAGTACAAATCATCATTGTTTTTTATATTCCTTCGCTTCCTCTATTGTTATATATGTGGCTCAAGCCTCGAGGTCTGTTGTTATATAAGCAGGTCCCTTGAGCCTCTTTTCTTAGTTGCACGCAATTCTTTTGGTCATGGAAGCTTCAACAACCACTCCCATGAGCAAAGCTCTCTTCTCTAATGGAGAGCTTTCGGCTCGCTATCTCAGCCTCGGGCGAGGAGGAAAGTGGATGGACCATCTACTTTGACGACTTCTTTGCCCAACAGGAGGAGGAGTTAGAAGATAATTGCACTATTTCAAACAGTGATATTAATAACGGTGGCTCTTCTATGATATCTGATGCTGCTTCTTGTGTTCCATGGAAGTTTCCGGCGACCACCCAGGGCCAGAACAAGCTTAGCTTCAAGAAGAGGAAGGGAAGAAGAGTGTTGAATGAAGATCCTTTGGAAGACACTGCTAGTTCTCCTGTAAATAGCCCAAAGGTTAACATATTTATTTACTTAATTAATTTTTCGTTCTTGAGCTTTGATTGTCATATGGTTCTTTGAAATTTATTACTGTTTTGTTGTTAATAGGTCAGCGAAATGGATCAATCGATCGGCTTGAACCAAAGGAAGAAAGATGAGAATAGTTACATCTCTCAGGTGTCAATATTGTTTTGTTCGTGTTTATGTTCAACTTAGGATGGTAACCACTGAGGTTGGTGATGAGTTCGTTTTTGTGTTTTTGTACGTGGTATTTTTCAGGAGAAGGACATCGATGGTTTCGAGAGTTGCTCAGGGCAGAGGAGGGATGGGATGGATGGATGCGGCGTTGTTGATGGCGCAGACCAGTGTACAGAGCTCAAGGAGAGAGGGCTTTGCTTGGTTCCTCTATCGATGTTAGTTGATTATCTCGGATAAGTTTAATGTATCCAAGAAAAAATGATCAATCATTTTAGAATATGTAAACAAATATATATATGTATGTATGTGTGTGTGTATATTAGGGGTGTGCAACGGTCGGTTCGGTTCGGTTTTGACCAAAATTTGAACAACCGAACCGAACCGTCTATAATTCAAAACCGAACCGAACTGTTACAAGTCGGTTCGGTGCGGTTCGGTTTGGTTTGTTCGGTTCTAACTTCATCAAACTTCTTATCAAACAACAATCTGTGTTAAAAAAAAAATATCAACAAAGTAGGAGATTATGAAGCATTAAATATTGATACAATGATATTGTTTTTAACCCATAATGATCCAGAAAATGAGTTTAGAGTTTGAGTCTTTGACTCTTTGGGGATGGGTCGGGTAGGGTTTGAGATCAAAATGAGTAATATTGCACTATATTCGGTCGGTTCGGGTCGGTTCGGGTTAAAAAGTTTTCAAACCGACCCGAACCGCCCTACTCATAAAACCAATTTTTTCGGATCGGTTCGGGTCGGTTCGGTCGGTTTTTTCGGTTTGGACCGAACCATGCTCAGCCCTAGTGTATATATATATATATATATATATAAACTGTTCCCGTCTAATTAAAGAAAATGAGGATTTAATGTCAGATTACTTCGTTGATGATTCCCATCTTAAAGAAAATGAGGAGATGGATGGAAAGAAAGGGTAACATGGGGGAGTTGTTAGAGCGTAGCTCTCAGAGCGTGGAGGTTGGACCAAATGCTCTAATTAAATTTATTAGGGGAAGAAAAAGTCTTAGGGAGTTTTGTACGCACGCTGTCTTAATTTGTACAACAGATTAATGTAGATTTTGTTAGTGATTTGTCATAGGACTCTTCAATGGCTCCTCCTTTCAAACCGTGTAAAATAAAATATGGTGGTTAGTAGTTAAAACAGACGCCCCTCGGAGGAAAAAATGGAGACCAGACCGAGGTTATGATGTAGTTGAAAGTCTCTCTATTTTACAAGTGAGAAATGAAGGGGACCCAACGGAGAAAGTTCAGATGTCTTTGTAGATGCCATGTGCTTTTAATTAATCACATCTCTCTGTGTCTCGTCAAATCTTGGTAGATCAACAAAGTTTAGAAAAAAAAGAACAAACTGACATAAGCTAGAAAGTCAACAGGAAATAAGGCATCGGCTGAACTCCGTGTGAAAACGGCGAAGGATTTGAGGAAGGAATTGAGAAAAACGTGAAGAATAAGCAAAACAAGCTCCATCACACCCTGGTGTGATGTCTGCCATGGGTGGCAGAATCTGCCATGGGTGTGGTGTCTGCCACACCTTGGTGTGACAGAATCTGCCATGTTTGTCATGGGTGTGGTGTGTGCCACACCTGTGTGTGGCAGACTCGTTTTTAGAATCCCAATTAGCTTGGGATTGTGTTTTGTTATTAATAGAGACACGTTTTTTAGGGTTTCTTTGGCTTTGTTTAGGGGTTTGTTTAGGCTTTGATTGGGCTTTGATTAAGCATTGATTGGGGGATATTTGGAGCACAAAAAGAGGTATTTTTTTGAGCTTTTGGTTAGGGTTTTGTTTGGAGAGATTAAGAGTTTTGTTGGTGACATTAGTTTGTTCCTTCGAGTGATTTGTAATCTCAATTTGTACTCTTCTTCTCTATTAGTGAAAACCCCATCCCCTTCTTGCCCCGTGGACATAAGCAACTTGTCGAACCACGTTAAAATTGGTGTTTTGTTTGTGCATTGATATTTAGTTCGTTTGGCTCTCTTGGATTGGCGTTTGGTTTGGTTCCTCGACACATCTTTTGGCACAACACTCCGCAATGATCTTTGACCTTTCTATAGAAGACTGATTAGTTTCTTTTTTTTTTTACTTTTTACTTTGTTCCTCGAGAAGAGGTGAGCAATTCGATTTTTTTTTGTTAACAGTATCATACGGAAATAAAATTAATACAGAAAACATCGCAAATATAATTCAACAAGAATGATTCAAAACAGAACAGATTTCTTCTAGGATTGGTGTTTAATTGTGCTCTTATGAGTGATAAAAGATGACTTGATGGCAAGTTATTGGAAAGCCAGTTTTTAATCCAATTAATATTGAATAATATAATGAATGAATAAATTATTAAGCATGTACTTTCGAAATCATAACATAAATATTTTTTTGAACTGAAAAAATAGGGAGAGATTCTCTGTTCATAAAATATATAAGCTTACCAAACCATAAAATATACAAACTGAACAATATGTGTAGAGAGAAAACATGAGACTAATTGAACGATAGGGAACAGACCTTGTCGTCACCTATCAGAACAAGAAGCCAATGATTCTACCCCCACAGCAGATTAAACTACTATATCACAAGGAAACTGTCAAAAGAAAAACCCAAAACATTGAGTTTGAGGGAACTAGAAGAACAGAACACAAAAGACATCCCCTGAGACCGAAACAAAAAGAAGATGAAGACAGAGACTTTGCCTACTGTTGAAGGGTGAGGCCGAAATCATAACATAAATATTATATCTTCCGAGTCAAATGGTCCTAAACCGATTACCCAATTCATGTCATAACTTTAATTTGATGGCTGCAGCAAGATGTATATCCAGTATAAATGTGTACCAAACGTATGAACCTAATCATATAGATAACTAGACTTTGGAAGAAAAGCGTATCTTAGATAATACAAGATAACTGATACGAGTTAACTGTGAACATGTCCCCTGTAGTATTACCCTATTGCAAAGAGACCACCTGCAGTTCTATTTGTTGCGAATGGACCCCCATATAGTTCTACCTTTTGTGAATAAGCCCCCTGTAGTGTTGGCCCGAGTTCGAATACAACCTCTTGGCGAACTTTTTCGACTCTTTTAAAAGTTAAATAATTTGCGATTCGGTATTTATCCTCATCAATAGAACTCTTTTT